AGCGGCCTAGCAACGAGCCTTCAAATTGATACGAAYTTGGATGAATAAGAAATCTGTGCGCTTTTTAGTATATTACTTTGGTGTGCACCAACCACGACAGTTGGAGCATCGGCACAACCATGATTGTGATTTGTGTTTCTCTTTGGTACAAATTCTAATTTTACATAGATTTTTAGTGTTGATAACGATACACGTAAATGCATATACTTACATTTAAATATATACAATGTTAATATGTATATGTGAAATAATACTAGTACCAGGAGTGCTATTCGAATCTCCCTCCTCAACACAGTAAATAGCGAGCATACTCTGAAGTAGAGCAGGGTATTATGGAGGTCTTAACGAAGTGCTAATTGAAATGTCGTCAATAAATGCGAAATATATCACCATGCGACAGATTTTTTCATACATCAATAACATAAAGATTTAAAATTGTAAATGAAAATGCTTGTAATTGATATTTTGTAATTGTTTTATGAATGACAACCTTAAAAAGTATTCTTTCTTACTTTTTTCGTGATATACTTACTGCTTAAGAGTTAGATCACTCTACATCCTTGAAAAGCTGTCAGCCATAGGCACCTCCTCCTCCTTTTTCGTATTTAGTGAGTTATCGCACTTTTAGCGAGTTCACTCGTTTTAATCCATTTTAAATCTGTCAAAGGTGGATTTGTCCTGAGCAACRTTTGACATTTTCTGTATAAGAACAGAACTCTTTATGTATGAACTTAATTTTGATCGTTCAGTTTGTATGGCAGCTATGTATTATATATGCTTTAGTGATCTGATGGCGCCGATTTCAACAAATGACTAGCTTCTTGGGAAGAAAACRGACGTGCCCAGTTTCAGAACTACTTGTATAGTTAAAAGAAAAGAGGGATTACCTAGTTCGCTTATATACGGGTGACTAAATCGACTCGGTTCGTTACGCTGCTCATTTATATATATATACWTATATATCATAGGGTCGCCGACATTTCTTTCTAGGTTTTACAAATTTCGTGACTACGTAGCAGTAGATCTGCTGCTACTTAAATGGCGGCAATCTCGACTTGGAAGACCCTGCTTCTCCTTCAGAGAAGTGACCATTTACTCAGATAGCAGAGCGGCGATACTAACCTTGAACATCATTATCAGTGCGTTCAGGGTTGATCGAGGAGTGTCTAACCTCGTTATCAAGAGCGATAAGGTTGGTGTGGATGCCATGCCATAGTCTCAGGACATTTGCAAAGGAAATCTACTCTAGAACCACTATCGGTAGAATGGGAGTGGGTCGGTGCTCCCGTATCCTCTTGTGTTCTACTACTAGATAGCTGGTACATGTACCAGCGGTATATCGCAAAAGCCTTTTGGCTCAAAATCGATCGCAAAAGATCTTTCTGCCTCCAGTGAGGCTAGCCTTTTCCAAGTTGTGATGCTTTTAATAAGCCATTGCCCTAGTCGCGTCCATGTTGTAAGGTTGGGAATATTACCAGATGTTATTTGCAGATGCTGTATGGAAGCAGATGACGTGGAGACAACTCAACACTTCCTTCTTGACTGTCCCGCGTTTGGGAGGTCAAGACTTAKACACTTGGRAACGCATGCCTCCAAACATCCCACCGAACTGGCGGGAGTGGAAATTTAGCGCCTGTGCAAATTTGTAYTTGCTACTAAGCGKTTTGCTAATTTATAAGTTTGAACACAGGAGATTCTTCTTTTCTATGGATTAACAAAGGACTATTTACGGCAGTCCATGTGCGATCTTTGATCARCYCTTCAACATAACCTAACYTACCACGAGCAGTACATATTTGACCTAAGTCGGATCATAAAACTTTAAGCTTAATGTAAAAACAGTTTTTTGCCGATAGTGACAAGCGCATCTAGAGAGTGCTGTTGTGCAATTACCTTCAGAGCTCTTCAAATAAAAAAGTTTCCCTTACAAAATCGATTAAAAAAATGCTGTTTGAAGAAAAACTAATTTAAAATTTTTCATTATGAATTTGATTTTTTTTTATATATTTTTATCTCTGCTGAAAGCGAATATTCTCTCAATTTTCCCGCTGTTTTTGGTTTTTTTGCTTTGTAAATAATTCTATTGAAAATGAGTTACAATCGTAGCTGCAAAATAATATTGCATAAATTCATAGGATAAATTAATTCTTTGTAATTTTCACACAAATACTCGCACACATAATAATGAAATCAAAGTTAAAATAAAGCAGCAGGTAAAAAATYAAAAGCGAAATATGATAATTTTAAATAATTATTTTTGAGTTATGTATGTATATGCTTGTAGGTGATATATGTAAATTTAATATATTATATTAACAAGAGATTACKTTTACCCAAACGAAGGGAGTCCTATTACAGTTGTACGAGTTTACTATTTTTACGAATAATTTCAAATCGTATGTGAATAAACACAGGTATGTACATATGTATGTATGTATCTTCAAATAATGTAATAAAATTGAAATATTGCTTATCGCCACAACGAATGTCACAAATTAAAATTAAAAAAAATCCAAGTGCTTTCTATTCGCATACAATGCTATACAATGAGCAACGAATTACCCCACAAAATTGTGACAGGCGGTATGTGATTTAATTACACTGAATATATGTATGTAAATGTAAATAAAATACAATTGGACAATAGAAAATATTGCATTAATTGAATATGCTTATAATGCAGCACAGAAATGCAAACCGAACCAAAGCAATGCGTTGATGCATTCCGAAATACATAAACAATAAGTTTTTATATAAATTTTGAAAAAAAAAAACAATCATTTGGCACTTAATGCTATGTGTTGAGTATTTTTGCATTGAAGTGCCGGATAATGCTACTAATTGCAAATAAATTATGTAAAAACATTGTATGTAATAAAGCAATAAACATTGAAAAGGCTCATAAAACGTTGAAGCCTGTGTGATAAATATAGAATAATTCAAATAAAGAATGATTTGCGAACGGAAAATAGAATACAATATATGTAAATATGCACTCTAATTTAGCATAGCATAGCCAATACTTACACTGGCAATTGAAATATTGAGACTGGGATGAAGCACATCATGCATTCATAGAAGCACTCAGCAAATGGCATTGGTAATCGTGAGTGCAAAGTTTACTTTATTAACTGAAACTTGTACGTTTGTATGTGAAGTGAAGATTTAGCAGTATTGCAGGTATATCAAGTTAGTGGATTTTCTAAATAAATCACTTTAGTAAAAGGCTCGTGCCGAATGGTCGAGAGAAAGCTAACAAAATACAAACTGAACGATCGGAATCAAGTTCTTGTATRGAAAACTTTCACATTTGACAATGTATCTTCACAAAAGTTGCCACAGGTTATTTTTTTAAATAATAATGTAATATACGAAGAAATTGTTCAGATCGGCTTACTACAGCATATATCTGCTATACAAACTGAACGATCGGAATCTAGTGCTGGTATGGAAAACTTTTGCATTTGACAATATACATATATTCACGAAATTTGATATAGATAATTTTCTATGGCAACAATGTAATCTCCGAAAAAATTGTTCAGATCGGTTAACTATAGCATATAGCTGCCATACAAACTGAATGATCGGAAGCAAATGCTTGCATGGGAAACTTCCTCATTTGACGTGGTATTTTCACGAAATTTGACATGTATTACTGCTTACGGTGACAATATAATCTCCGATAAACTTGTTTATATCGGATTATTATAGCACATAGCTTCCATACAAACTGTGCACATAATTACTACAAGAAATGCACCTGTGAAGGGTATATTAGTATACCTTGTATACCTGTGAGTAGTGCAAGTCGGAAATGCAGTCTTCGTTAGAGCCGAGGTACGCGATTAAATTCTGTGTAAATCTGCGACAGAGACGTTTGATACGATTAAACAGGCTTACCCCGATGTTGCTTTAGCAAGAAGTGGTGTGTTTCGGTGGCACCAGGACTTTTTGGAGGGCTGGGAAGAGGTCGCTGATGATGACCGGTAGAATGAGCACGAGTGAAAMCGAAGCTTATTTTCTTTTTTCACGTCAAAGGCATCGTCTAGCATGAATTTGTGCCTTCTGGACAAACCGTCAACGTCAAGTTTTACGTGGAAGTTCTCAAGACTCATACGAAGAGTCAATCGGTTCCGACAAGACATCGCAGCCGATTGGAAGTTGCTCCACGACAACGCCTCTGCTCATACAGCCTTTCTTTTTTTGTTTCCATTTTTGAAAAGGCCGATAAAAGGCAAGCATTTTGAGACGAAAGAAGRGATTCAAGCAGTATGCACCTCAACTCTCAAGGTTATTCCGGAGAATACCTTCCGTTACGCCTCCAATGCTTAGAAATCGTGCTGGCAGCGCTGCATCGACGCAAAAGGAGCCGATTTTGAAAGTTTTTAAAGAATTGTAATGATTGTTTCAATACATTTTTTTAAATCGACACAGTTCTCTTACTTTCCGGACAAATTCTGTATGTTACAGTATGTAAGTTCTTCTAAGTTACAGTTTAACAAGTTGAATTCACTGCGGGGCATCATGAGTTTTAGCAGATAAAAATCCTATAGTGAGATAGGTACGAGCAAGTACATATATTCATATAAGTCAACACTAAAATGTATTATACCCGTTAGATACAAATGTTTGAGGGACAAGTGAATGCTAATGTGAGTATAATTATTTTATTTTACTTTTCGTTTGCAATATAAATTGTTGCTGCTGAACCTGCGTTGTCCAACAACTATTATCTATATCATTAGTTAGGTAGTTGTCACTTGCGTGAGTAATCCGCAAGTAACTCCAGGAATTTGTAACAATAAAKATTTGCATACTGATGTGCTGTTATGTAAACGACCTTTTGTGTTAACAAAATATTCTCTACTGTAAAGAATTTACATGAAATAAAGCTAAGTATATATAGTAATTGATGTCAAAGAGGTAAAGAGTTGAATATCGATAATACTATGCAACAGATGTATACTTAACTTACTTACTTACTATATTTAACTTACCTTAAATGCTCTAATTATTTCGTTTTCGCTGCTGTCTGAACACTGTTATTTACTAGTTAGTGTCCAAAATATGTGAGAGTTTTCATCTATATATTATATATGTGTATTTACATATGTGAGCATATTTCTATTTGCTCGAGATCCATAAGGTAGGTGGGTTGAAAAAATACTTTGCAGTGGTGGCGAGTATTTCGTTTTGTAAGTTTTCCTTTGTAATTTCCATCTCTTCAGCTATCGAGGCTGAGAATCGATTTCAATAATTCACAAATTCAATTATGAAAAAACGGTTGCTAACAGCAATTTTAGCAAAAGAACGGAAGTAATCGTTATAATAAACGCCTGCCTGCCTTCAAAGGCATGGTRTTACATGCAAAGCTTCTCGGCTACTCGGTACTGAAGACGCAGTTGGACGTTGAAATCGTTTTCTGCAAATCACAATACTTCCGGGAGAGTAGTTGCTGTTGTTTTTGGTATTGGTAATGATGATGCTGTTAATGGCTGGCTTTTTTATTAAACTTTATACTTTTTAAAGGATGACAACGCATTATTGCTGGAAGGAAAAATATATWAAGAAAATTGCTTAATAATATAGACAAAGTTGATGAAAATAATATTCTAATTTAATATTTGCATTATAAAACATTTCAGCACCACAGAGGTATGGTGAATCCAGTAGTTGGACAAAAAAGCGAAGCTAATGGGTCTGGTCTGGTAGTGAATGATGGCAAGTTGAAATATCTGATGTCATCAAACAAACAGTCGTCGCACTCGTATCTTGACTCCCACATCACGAAGTCGTAGATAATTTAACCTATCTTGAAACCAGCAACAACATTAGCTGCGAAATCTAATGCAGAATAACCGTGCGATTCTGTACTGTGATACAGTATCAAGTCTCTAAATTTGACAGAGACAATTTTTGAGACTTGAGACGATTTYGCTATTCTGTAAGTGATAGTCACAAACTCTATTAYATTTCATTATTCAGAGATGTTTTTATACTTGAATGAAAATAAATATGTCGATAACAAATATTAAATTTTCTATAACATAGTCAAAAAACATAATTATCAATAAAAAATAAAAATATATGTTGACTTTGTTTCATAATATTAACGAAATTTATTTATTTTTAACTTTTTCGTGTTTGAGTTGCTTTCAAAATATAAAAAAACGACAATCGATTAATATCTATGGTGATCTCTATTCAGTATATTCAAAATGGCAGACAAGAGTTCTTTTTGGTTTTGTGACTTGCTAACTACCAGGTCTCAAATTTGAGGCAATATTTTGAGACTAAAGCTAGAGACTGTTTAGTGAATAGTAACTAGTCACAAATTGAGATTTTACCACAAAATGTCTCAAATAGAGACTAGAGACTGGTTACAGAATCCCGCTATAACTCTTGCCAACAAGTGCTACTTCGAATCGAGCAGGTWATGGAGAAGTTAAGTCCTTTCTCGTCGAACAAAGACGAAACTGTATAAGTTACTCATTATATCCGTCCTGATATATGGTGYAGAGGCATAGACGTTATCATCATCGGTTGAGTCAGCGTTACGAGTTTTCGAGAGAAAGGTTCTGCGGAAGATTTATGGCCTTTTGCGCATTAGCAATGGCGAAAACCGCAGAAAATGGAACAAAGACCTGTACGCGATATACGACGACATTGATATAATTCAGCGAATTATTTATATAATATTTGACGCAGTACCTGCCGGAGGAAGCAGAAGAAGAAGAAGACCTCCACTCTGTCGGAAAGACCAGGTGGAGAAGAACCTTGGTACACTTGTAATCTCCAATTGGCGCCAAACAGCGAAAACGTAGACCGACTGTCTTCGACAATAAAGAAGAATGCTGGTGTCAATACCTATTGCGCTGTTGAAATAGTCGAGTTCGACAGTCATGAAACTCACTTCGTAACTGGTAACTTACGACAACGTWAAGTGAAAATAGTATTGAGTCGCGATTAGCCGGCGAAAGGATAGTCAAGCCAGGATTAACGGTCAGAAAAATCTGTACTGTCAACAATTGCACCGTCTGGAGGGATTAATGGCCCATCTTTGCCAAATAGAAGAGGAATCGCGTTTTATCAGAACAACGTCAAGGTACACGACTCGCCAGAAGCTCCGGAAATTTGGTTGGGAGGTTCTTATGGATCCACTTTATTGTTCGGACTTGGCACTAAGTGATTAATACGTTTCTGGTTACGTTGAACAATTTTGTACGGCCAAAAAGTAAGGCGAAATCCTATATATCTCATTTTCTTACGTTAATAATATACTCAAAATTAATCAGTCTCATTTAGGCAAGTCAAATCTCGTATATCAATAAACTGAGGCKAAGCCGGAATGAAAGTTCTAAATGCAACGAATGCATATAAAAAGTAAAGATTAAATGACTACCTATTACCCTATACGCGATGGAGCACGAAGAGCTAAGGAGGCCTAACAGTGGCGAGTAAAAAGAGAGTTGAACGAGTTGCAAGTTTGTAACGTTGCATAGCAACTAAAAAACTCTTGGCCAGTTGTCAATCAATATTACGCAAAGGTTGGCATCATTAACTGAGAGTGGCAGTGTACATACACAATTTTTTGCAGCGACTTTCGATGGGGTTAGAAGATGCTGGTAGCAGTGGCAATTTGCGTTTTTGCTACAACACGGGAAAAATACCAACGCAAACTTCCAAATACACGGTAAAAAAATAGCACACAAGTTGTAATGTGTATAAAATCTGTATCATTCTACAAAGTCAACAACCGACGAACGCATGTGTATAGGTTTATGTACATATGTAAGCGTTCTAACGATGTGTATTAAGTGTTGCGAATTGCAATCTGTCACCGACGCGCTGACGCGGAAGCAATGGACAGGAACTGGGCGTCCACCTGCCTGGTTTGCAGGATATATAATTCGTTAAGCGTATGCCATTGACCGCCGCAGACGAGTGATTATTGAGTGTATGATCAGCATACGCGGGTGGCAGAAAGTCGACCGTAGCGAAAGCTAAACACACGGCTAGATTTTTATTTTATAGAGTCGTCCTTGTCACAATAATATATCGAACTTGACATAATATACCTGATATACATATGTATCTATCCGCGATGAAGAGCAAAAATCGGCTAGGAAACGCGGCCAAATACCTGCCACGGCATACTGTTCTGTTTATAACTTGTTGAAAGCATCCTTTCTGCAGCAAGGGGAACACACTCACACACACCACCGTACAGCATGGAGGGAAATCAGGCGGGGCCAGGTGCACGCATTGCGGCTCAATCTGCACACACCGAGTTTCACAATCAACGACCCAACCACAACTTCCGTCTACGACCACTTCACTTTTTCCCTTCAGTTCTGCGAGCTTTTCCACTCTCTTTTTTTTATTTTCACCTTTTTTTTTTGCAATTTTTATATTTCAGCGTAAAACAAGAGGTAAAAATTGCCGCTTCCAAAGCAAAACTGAAGAAAATGCTTTGAAAAAGTTCTCACATAGCAACAACAAATTTAGAAAACGTGCAGCGCCTCCAAAGTGCACTTGCATGGCGGGGGAGGTGATGCCTTCTGCCATTTCTAACATAACCCCACTCAGTAAAGTTAAACAAACCACGCGCTGGTCTGGTATGTCTACGTTCTCGTCATAATCGTCGGTTTACGACGAGTTAGTGTAAACAAATGCCAAGCAGCGGAACTTCTCCTCATTTTAATTTTGTACTTGCACTTCCATTACGTTTTTCTTTTGTCTCTTCTTGCTGGCATTGCGTTTCGTTTTCCAGGACTAGGGAAAAACTGAATGATAGTGATGATAAAGGTATCGGTGTTGGCGTCCTACGCTGTCAAAGGGTGACGCATTCGGTGAGAGGGAATTACACGGAGAACCATAAATATTATAATGTGAAACTTTTTGATTAGAGAGAACGCTGTCCATATGTATATTTTTTTTTATAATACTTGAAGATTTGTCCGTGTTTGTTCATCTTCTGTTTAGCTGTACATGGCCCGACTTTGTTGACAATATCAATTATAATTCTCTCAAATCATGAGCTCTTTTAATATGTTCGTGGATTGTAGCTTTGCCTTGGACAATAATTCCGCCGAATTTTGGATATCTTGTCGGATATTTTCGAATATCTTGTCAAACAAAAGGTTTTCAATACAAGGACTTGATTTCGATCGGTTGGTTTGTTGTGCAGCTGTATGCTATAGAGTTGCGATATCTGCTATGCCGCCAAATGAGCAACTTCTTGGGATAAAAAAAAAAGTGTTCATGTATATACAGACAGGCAGACGCACATGGATAAATCGACTCATCCATGCTGACATATTTTATGGTTCCCCTTTCGTGGGCTTTCAAACTTCATGGCAAACTAGATACGGTATACTCTGCTCAAGGTACACAATCTGAAAAGTGGAAATGGTGGGTCTCAACCGGCTACACAATAAAAGAGGGCGGCCAAAATTAAAAATAAACAAATATTAGACAGATTAAGTTCACGCCTTAAAAAATAGACATAACTGGGTATAATAAGCCATGAACGTTGATATAAGTATATCAGAGAGACTTCATACATATACGTACATATATCATAGTTGACAAAACTCCAACCATTGCACTGCATTATTCAGTTGGCGTTCTCTCCTGAAATCACCGTTTCATTCAACTAGTATCCCGGTTACCTCAAACAGATACAGTAATGCTTTGAAGATACCAAACAAAAGATCCATTAAACGGCGGGTAATGGTGAAAAATGCAAGTCGTCGGGAGGAGATAAACTTTTATGTTAAAGAGGAAGGCGTCAAGCTAGGGGATAACGCACAAAGGAAGCTAACGTATTACATATGTATGTATCAGTTAGTGTAAATATAAGTGTCGTCACAGTCTGTGACTACCGAGGAATATGCGGAAATGTGCAGGTGTATATATGTACATGGTCCGATTACGCTCATCAAGAACTCGGTATTTTTTCGCCAAGACACGAGCAGACCAAGTTTCATCAAGATATCTTCATACATTTTGCTGAAGTTACAGCCGACACGGGCGGACGGACAGACAGACAGTCACTTGGATTTCGACTCGTATTATCTTCATGATCATTTATGCAAAATATACATAGTCTATATCTAAATCGATTATTTTTASGTGAGASAAACMACCGYTACGTRAACAAAAGTATAAAAATYTCTAAAATATTCTAATGCATTCATATTAAAAGTTGCAGTATTTACTTGCTGCCTTAACTGTAAAATGTAAAAAACATATGTAAAAATAATATATAATTGAAAGGGCCTCACACAAATTAATAATGAATATCTCTCATTTATATTAACTATGTTTTGATATAAAAATATTAATAAAGACATCAAGCTAAAGCAAATGGTTCAGCCGCATTTCTGCTAGAAATTGATAAATATATCCACATGTGCATACTTATTTAAAACAGCAAAACTTTGTTCCTCACTTTACAATTCTTAATTTATTCTTCAAAATCTAATTTCGAAACAGTTCTTAGAGTAAATTTCAGTAATAGCCTTCAATGCGTGTAACGATTC